CCGAGCGGGGCTGCCCTCTTGAAATACCGCCCATGTAAGTTTCGAGCAGACGGACCGTCTGCCACCAGGTCACGTGACTTGGAAGAAAGACTTGCTTTACGGCTACAGGCGCTGATATACTCATGGAGCTAAGGCTTTTGCTACTCATTTTTCACCTGCTCGACTCCTGGTCATGGCTGAGGCAAGGAAAAATTTTAAACCTTCGGAGGAGGCTAAAAAGAGGAAACGCGAAAGGGATCGTGCTGTAAGCTGCATGTCTGTATGAGCGCTGCTCTTCACCTGGTTCCTGGATGTCATCGACTGCAAAGATGTCATTCCACGCAGCACGAGCTAGACGCAGAACTCCCTCATCCAGGATATAGAAGTCCATGTGTGGTAGATTACTAATGCAGCGGTCTGGAGGCTGACCACAGCAGAGTCTCTCAATATCTGTAGGCATGTCTCTACAGTTTGAACACACACACCAGTGCATGCTGTCTGAATACACACTCAAAAGACACCGGCTGACTGTTTGTTGACTTTTGCGACAGTGCTGAGTTGCTTGTGGCCACTAGGGGCGCTAAACGTGAAAGTTGCAGGTCTAGCGCCCCTAGTGGCCAAGAGTTACACGGTGTGCCTTTAAATCACACAAACAAGGCCCATCGCAAATATATCAATCCTATTAAACACATGCATTATTTACATGAAATATCAAATTTTTAAAACTGATTACTCAAAATAGAAATGTTGTAACAGACAGTCTTTTCCAAAAGCCTCCTCGGGTTTTCATGCTTGTTCTTTCAACTGTGCCTGAGTAACTGTGCTGTAGTACAACGCTCGGTCCAGCTGGTGGCGCTAATACTAACTTCAGTGACTCCCGCATTGTCCGAGCTTCCTGTTTACATTCTGATGCTGTAGCTAACAGCTACTGTAGCAGCTACTGTAGCTTACAGCTACTGTAGCAGCTACTGTAGCTAACAGCTACTGTAGCTAACAGCTACTGTAGCAGCTACTGTAGCAGCTACTGTAGCAGCTACTGTAGCTAACAGCTACTGTAGCTAACAGCTACTGTAGCTAGCAGCTACTGTAGCTAACAGACAGCGGGGAACACGTTGTTTGTATCAGAGCAATGAGAGCAATGTGTGAGACGTGTCTTTCCCCAAAGTGCAGCGGCTCAGTGGGACACGAGTGTGTGCGCGCCACGGACACGGGAGTGCGCTTTGGAATAACGAGCGTGAGAGAGCGTGAAAGATGTGGCGTACGAACATGGCGTACGGACATAACGACCGGAGCCTGCGTGCGTGTGTGTGTGTGTTCTGGCGATTAAATAAAGTCTGATTCTTGAACGTTTGAAGTGTTATTGCAACAGCACCAACTGTGAGAGCGAGCCTCAGGCCAGAGGGAGACTGTTAGCATTAGGTTAGCTTCAAAATGACTGCTCAACACCATAGACCCGCGGTTAGCGCGTTAGCGCTGTCGTTCTGCGCTGGAGAAAATAAAAATCGAATTTTTAAAAAAAGAAATCGCCCTAAACGTATAACTCGAATTAATGATTAAAATCGATTAATCGCCCAGCCCTACTCTGTCTATATGTACCTGTGCCTCTCTGTGTCTATATGTACCTGTGTCTCTCTGTCTATATGTACCTGAGTCTCTCTGTGTCTATATGTACCTGTGTCTCTCTGTGTCTATATGTACCTGTGTCTCTCTGTGTCTATATGTACCTGTGTCTCTCTGTGTCTATATGTACCTGTGTCTCTCTGTGTCTGTATGTACCTGTGTCTCTTTGTGTCTAAATGTACCTGTGTCTCTTTGTGTCAATATGTACCTGTGTCTCTCTGTGTCTATATGAACCTGTGTCTATATGTACCTGTGTCTCTCTGTGTCTATATGTACCTGTGTCTCTGTGTCTATATGTACCTGTGTCTCTCTGTGTCTATATGTACCTGTGTCTCTCTGTGTCTATATGTACCTGTGTCTCTCTGTGTCTATATGTACCTGTGTCTCTCTGTGTCTATATGTACCTATGTCTCTCTGTGTCTATATGTACCTGTGTCTCTCTGTGTCTATATGTACCTGTGTCTCTTTGTGTCTATATGTACCTGTGTCTCTTTGTGTCTATATGTACCTGTGTCTCTCTGTGTCTATATGTACCTGTGTCTCTTTGTGTCTATATGTACCTGTGTCTCTCTGTGTCTATATGTACCTGTGTCTCTCTGTGTCTATATGTACCTGTGTCTCTCTGTGTCTATATGTACCTGTGTCTCTCTGTGTCTATATGTACCTGTGTCTCTCTGTGTCTATATGTACCTGTGTCTCTCTGTGTCAATATGTACCTGTCTCTCTGTGTCTATATGTACCTGTGTCTCTCTGTGTCTATATGTACCTGTGTCTCTCTGTGTCTATATGTACCTGTGTCTCTGTGTCTATATGTACCTATGTCTCTCTGTGTCTGCATGTACCTGTGTCTCTTTGTGTCTATATGTACCTGTGTCTGTGTGTCTATATGTACCTGTGTCTCTCTGTGTCTATATGTACCTGTGTCTCTCTGTGTCTATATGTACCTGTGTCTCTCTGTGTCAATATGTACCTGTGTCTCTCTGTGTCTATATGTACCTGTGTCTCTCTGTGTCTATATGTACCTGTGTCTCTTTGTGTCTATATGTACCTGTGTCTCTCTGTGTCTATATGTACCTGTGTCTCTCTGTGTCTATATGTACCTGTGTCTCTCTGTGTCTATATGTACCTGTGTCTCTTTGTGTCTAAATGTGGATGATACAAATAATGAATAGCTATCTACTGTATACAGTAGCTATGATATGATAGCTACTGTATCAAAGCATTCATGAAGAAAAATAATACCTTCTATGCACTTTTCTCATGAGGGCAGTATAATGCGCTAACATCCTGACTAACCTGAATGTGCACATCATGAGCCTCATCCATTATCGATCGTTTCACTTCACTCATAATATCCTGGGCTCCTGAGATCGATGCTTCTCCCTCAGACTACGGTATATGTTGATACAGTTATGCACACAAGACAACTGGGTGAAAGCGTGTTTTCATGCCAGCTCGTAAATGAATAGATTGTGACAGATGCCTCTTGACTGCAGTGGGCTGGAAGGAACTAAAGCGCTATGAGCCAATCAGCACTTCCAAATGAAGTCAGCTGAGTGGGCTACAATGTCCTCAGGGGTCTGACTGTTGTATTTCTAAATACCTGCAAATAAGGTTCAAGTCTAGATCATTTTGCAGAGTTGCAAGTGGGAAGTTATTGAAAGGTATTTTTTGTATTTAGCCATTTCTAGATGATCTCCTCTTCTATCCTCATACACACATATGCTCTATAATCCAGGCCTTTCCACTTAGATTGCCATAATTAAATTCTTATTCAGTGACTGGCTCTTGACTGCACTAACCTAGTTTTTAACAAAACAGGACGTGGCTCCAGTATGAATCATAGGACTGGAAATAACCTGTAATGTCTGTCTGTGCAGGATCCCACCCAAGTAGTTATTTCTTCCCATCAAACCCAAAATATTCTTCAAATGAAATAAAAACAATCGAGGCCAAGAGACTGTAGATAAATATTAACTTGTCCCTTTCCTTAAAAGTGCATATCTTAACTGTCCAGGTGGAAGACCTTTCCACCCCCTTCCAGGTTGCTCCCTAAGAAGATTGCTTAGCAATTTTGTACTGCAACTCACTTTTTGGACTATTAATGAATGTGATGAGAAATGGCAGCACCCAATCTCAGACTGGCTCTCACCAATATATTGACTCATTTTAAAAAGGAGTAGCTCTTTCCATTATCGTCTTGTGAAAGTATCTCTAAATGTTGTTGTTTTGCCTGGTTATGTACAGTATATAGTGTGTCATTAAAAAGTACTTTTACATTGGAAACAGGAATGCTCCTTCATAAGACTAGCTTTTTTTTACAACGCCCTGCCTTCAGAAACACTATTGGGAAATCCCAAATCCTTGTGTGGAGCTCAGCGAACTACAAGGGTGGCGAGAATCAGGCTAGCTCTGGTGTCTCCTACCCTAAAACATGCACAATATAGATAAAAACCTCCAGGTCCTTTCCTGACCAAGGCAAGCATCAACATTTCAATTCAATTGAATTTCTTCTTGTATAGCCCTAAATCACAACATAGTTATTTCAGAGGACTTTACAAAACTGTTGATTTTGCCAACACAGATCAGAGAATCAAACTGTTCCAACACAAGAGAACAGTTTACAGAGACAAATAAAGTGACACATAACGTTAAGTAATTGGTGCAAATTGCTCTGACAACCCCCTTTCACAACACCACCAATACACATGAAAGCTGCTGAACTTGGCTTAACAGGTTTACTGTGACAAAGCATTCAAAGGATGAAGATAAATAGTTGAAATGTTTTTTTATTGTGATTTATAACGCTTATCACATATCATAATGATCAACGTGTGTCATAAACCTCACAGACTGAAGCACAATATTATCCCCTTTAAAAGGGTTGAAAGCGGATCAGGCTCCACACATAACTGCCTTCTCAATCCAATAGCTACAATCAAAGAGCTTAAACTGTTTCACTGTGTTTCGTAGTGATCAAAAACTACAGCAACAGGCCACTCGTTTTGCTTTAATCTCCTCTTTCAGTCTCGGGCTGGATGAAACATCTCAAAATCAGAATCTGTCTTTCTTTAGCGCACTTTCCAACAGAGAGGAAGCTAATCTTCTTATTGGTTCCTTTGACAGCCTTCGGAGAACACTCGCCCGATGCCTCCCTTCTCTCTCCTCCTCTGCTGTCAAGCGATGGTGGGAACAACAGCACTGCCTAATACATTTTGGCATTTCCCTGACAGTGTTTCTAGATCCACCCTCTTTTCTTCTTCCCTTATCGCCTAAATCTCTTTGTTGTGCTAAGTCTTCCACCTTTGGGTATTCCTTTGCAGCCCAGTTTGATGGTGGAAATAATCAAATCAAATAAAAATCAAAAATCAAAAGTCGTGCATGAGAATAGGGTGTCTTACCAGGAGGGAGTAAGTGATTTTGAAGCCAGGTTTTTGAACAAAGTAGTCGTTGGACTTGAAGGTGACCCGCACGACGTTGCCTTTAGAGGTGACGGTGGACGGGCGGTGGGTTCCGCACCATCGTCCCCAGACTATGGAAGCGGTTGCGGTTTCGTCCTCCACTTGCACGTAGTCGCTGGAGTGAAAGGCAAGAGAAACACCTTATGGCTTTGTAATCATGCATGGAAGTATTCTGAACAAATGTAGACTGTTTCATACGGTGGTTTCAATCTGGAGAGACTAGGACAGACACAAAATACATTTTAGAAAGATTTATTGATTAGTGCATTGACCCCGGCAGTGACACTTGCAAAAGGGAGATCGTTGCTGCTGAAGATGATTTCAGATCCGCAGAGTCAAGCACTGGTGGTGGCTAGAGGGTGTAGTGTGAATAGGGCACTGGCGGAGCAGGAGCCAGAGCAGGAGCCAGAGCAGGTGCCAGAGCAGGAGCCAGAGCAGGAGCCAGAGGAGGAGCCAGAGCAGGAGCCAGAGCAGGAGCCAGAGCAGGAGCCAGGGCAGGAGCCAGAGCAGGAACCAGAGCAGGAGCCAGAGCAGGAGCCAGAGCAGGAGCCAGAGCAGGAGCCAGGGCAGGAGCCAGAGCAGGAACCAGAGCAGGAGCCAGAGCAGGAGCCAGGGCAGGAGCCAGAGCAGGAGCCAGAGCGGGAGCTTGAGAGCATTTGGTTTAAAATGACGTTTATACCATGTGATTAAACCCCATATGACTCTACTTATAAATATAATGCTAAAAATAAAATCAGCAGCATTATCTTGTCTTTAGCAAATCGTAACCATAGCGATGTTGTTTGGTAACTTATGATAATTACATGGCTCTAATTATTATATAAACTATACATAACATTGTCCTAACAAACTTTGGTTCCTAAACTTTGTAACTAAAATAAAATGACGACAAATACGACTTGTCAAACACTTTGGAAACATCTCTTAAACCTTTCGTGGCCTTGTTTCACAGTTTTCAATTTATTTTTGTTGTAGTGCGAACACAAGGCATCATATGGTTGCTAACGATGTTTTCTCTTCACGCAGACGCTCGCTCTCACCTTTGGCCGCTCTGAAGGGGCCATTTTGTTTAATTGGACTCTAAATGCACCTCAGGCTGTTGTTTACACATTGTGCAGATCATTAGAACTCGGCCTTCAATAGTGTTGATAGTGTCACAGTGAGACAGTAAACAGAAATACAGACCTTAAACTGTTGTAAAAATATGCACATAAATCATATGTTTATAGGAACAACATTCAACGACATGCACTGCTGCTGAACTATTCTGTGGTTCAAAATCTTGCAGCATTATGGAAAGTTATTAGAGAGTCATTTTTCAGATCTGTGTGATTCTTTAATACCATGAATAACGGATATATATAGCGCATATTCAACGTACTAAAAGTAAAAGAGAGTAGATTTTAAAGTATTTATATAACCATACAGAACTGGAACAGGAGCAATTCAACAGAGTTATGATCTGGTTATGAATTGCCCTGCAGGAATAAATAAATTGTACCTTTAGATACAATGCCTCTTTACCTTTAAATCAAACTTTTACTTTGCCGTTGTAAAAATCTCATCAAGCACAAGCAGAGTTTTAAATGTAAACGTGTGTATGGCTGGTCACTGATGGACTTTATGGACTGTGAGGGGAATGCGCAGCAGACGGTGAGGTCCCACACATTCACCACATTTGGACAAACTGTGCTCGATCAAAGGGACTCGTTATTGGAAGAGTCTTTTTCCAACGACGAGAGAATGTCCCACACAGGTCCACTTTCAAACTAGACCTAAACTGACCTAAGATGTATCAAATGTTTAAGGGAGTATGTGTGTGTGGAGAAGAAAGAGACACATAAGGAACGAGGGTGTGTGTTCTGCTGAATTCCATGTATGCTCTGTAATAAGTTTACTTTTGTAATCTTTTTTATGTCTTTCTTTTGTTTGTTCTGTTTGGGATTGTACTTTTGTGTTTTTGTGTTGTTTTTGGTGTCCTTAAAAAACGTTTAATGTGAGAGAAACCTCTGTTTCATGGACGCGCTGGTGGGACTCGAGACCCTGACTCCCTGGACCTGAGGACTGGTCCACAGCCGTTGGGAGCTGGCGGTTTTGTGACGCCCCTCAAGACGACTGTTGTTGTGATTTCGGGCGATACAAATAAAATTGGTTTGATTTGATGATAATATAAGAAAAACAAAAACACTTATAGCCGTTTGTCACTATCATATTTCTTATAGTTTAATGTAGAGTTAATCTAAATACACCCAATACACTCATTCAACCCTCACCTATTGTACATGTTTTTATTGGTATAGGGGAAAACCGGAGAACCAGGAGGAAACCTACACAGACACGGGGAGAACATGCAAACTCCACACATAAAATCCCTGGAATTGAACCCAGAACCTTGTCTGTGCCACCACTACTTTGTATTTGTGAGCTCCTCATTTCTCGTGTACTGTAACTTGTGATACAACACTGAAATGTCCCCACTGTGGTCTCTTTGATTTTAGCAAAGGCAAAATGAGTTTTGAGAAAAAGGGGATGAGTTTTGTGAACAGTGTCTTCAGCTGAATTGTGTTTATGGTTGTGGAAAGGGGGGTTAGTTTTACTAAATGTGTTTAGGCAACTGGTCATTTGGTTTAGAGTATTGTGTTTTGTGTTGTAGCAATAGAGAAAAACTGCAATTACAGAAAAAACATGACAAACAAAACTGCGACTCTTCCGAGTATTTTTTTGCTTTTTTGGATATTTCATGACACTTTGAAGCTACTGTGGTGAACGTTCTAAATCATCATTCTAACAATATGCACAAGGCAGTATTTTTCCAACACATGTTTTGGTGATCTCAAGGTTGGAGCTACTGGCACCGAGGAAAATGCTGATATCTGCTAATATGCTAATAATGCTAATAAGTCTCCATTCCTCCGCTGTATAATATCACTTACATTATCTAACATATGTATCGATAATAAAACATGTCTTCTGTCTGAATTAAAGACACGATCCTAGACTGTCATTTTCTTCACTTTAGATTCTAATTCTCGAGATCGATACATTGAAAAAGTCCAATTGGGTAACACTTTATATTAATGGTATGAATCAATGCATTAGTTCATGATACATTAATGCATTACTAGATCATGAATTCTCATGAACTAACATGATTACATGTTGGTTCATGGATGACTTCATCCATGAATAATTGGTTGAACTACTGTAATGAATTCACATGAAAATCTTAAAGAATCATCATGATCATGATGATACCATGAATTTACTGCAATGATCATGCATGAACATCATGAAGTGTGATAGTTTGTAAAATAAATTGAAGGAACAACCCATAAATCATTGCTTGACTTTAGGGAGGCCCTACCAGGGGCATGAAGCCCCAGACAGCATAGCTCCCAGGATCATCCGAGTACTCAAACTCCCCCACCACGTTAAGGTGGCAGTCCAGTCGGAGGAGATTCTTTTCCATTCTTGCCTCTTTTCCTTGTTGCACGAAAACTCGTTTTAAAATAAAATGACACGCAACACAAATCGGTGCTACTTATTCTTCAAAAGGACGTATATCCAAATGCACTGCATGGAAATGGATTGAATTTTTGTAATTAATGCAAAAATAAAGTGAAGTAATGCAGCTTTAAAAGACTCGTAATAAAAACAATGCATTATTTAAAGAGTGTGTCCGAGGCGAGAACATGGACCTTTCTTACAAACTTTTAAAAACCCTAAACAAAGACTGATCCATGCACCATAAATATCTGTAAGTGAGCTTTATAGTAAGGCAATCAAAACGTGGCTGGAGCAAGATGCAGAGATCCTAAAGAGAGGGAGAGTACAAAGGGAAGGTCACACGGCCCAAGCCTGCACCCCAAGGCCATCGTGTATGTCTTTTTCATGCTTCCATGTGCACCAAGACACTAGGGGTAATATCCACAGCCCATTTATCATAGGAGACTGGCTAAAGATAAGCAGCACACACATCCCTCCACACCCAGAAGGCTTTGAGCGATAGCATTTAGCCAGATGGAGTAAACTTGGCTTATTTCTCAGGGGTGCATGTACGCTGGGAGTGGATGTACAGACGAGCGCATTAACGAGTGGATAGGCATTTGCCGTGGCGACAGATGTGCGTGTATAACCAGATGTGCAGAGGCAACTTGAACTGATGACAAGAGCCCGAGTTTCGAATGTGCTCGTGCTGCTAATGGGCAATGTTTAACACCGACTAAATACAGGTGTGTAAACAGGCGAGTGGAGACGCTAGGCTGGTTTGGAATTTCAACACACACTGAAAAATGGACCAACAAACAGGACATGTGAGCAGATTAGAATTGTGTTGCGGAACAGATTCAGATTCAGATTCCGTTTATTTTCCATTTGCAGTAAAACCACATTGGAATACATTAGCAAAAGTCTCCAGTGTGCACAGACAAATACAGACATAAAACAACATTAAAAGTACAGAAATAAAACAAATAAAACAGTAAACAAACGTCACTGTGAAATCGATCGGCTAAAACAGTTTCAAAAAAAGTGCAAATCATTAATGTGCTCTGTTCACACTGATAACAGCCTGTGGAAAAAAGCTGTTAGCGTTACGAGATGTCCTGCATCTCAGGGAGCGTTCACTGCGGCGCCCTGACACGGCGCCATCTTGCTAGTCCTCATGCTACTCTCTCTCCTCAGCAGAACAAATGAAATGGATGAAGTTTGAAATATGCTGGATTTTTTGAGAGAAGTGAAGAATGCATTGCAGAATTAGCTTAGCCTTGCGCATTTTGCATGTTTTCCTTGAATTGTTCCCAGTCAAAACAATACATTTCTTCTTTCAGTTTGCTATTGTTCACCAGTTAAAATATGTTTGAAAATGAGAATAGAAACCTGGACTTTGTGTTGAAATGTATTTCATGTATTCATGTTCATGTATTTATTCATGTATTTATTTCAAACATGCATAAACAATTACTCAGAGAAACATTGTACTTTGTTTGAAAATAGATTGGATGAAGCAAAATTATCACTGCAAAAAGTGATTAGTCCAAAATTGCTCAAATTTGGTAAATGCATCTTAATCTGAGCATATTTGGACTGCCTTAAAACGACCTTTGTCCGATGGGAAAAGCAAAATTATGTTGTTTTAAAGAGATACAAGAAATGTCCATCTTAATAAAGCAACAGTTCTTAATAATATTAAATAAT